GCAAAGCATTGGCGGTGGAATTCAAAACCGCCAAAGAATGTAAAATAACTTAGCTGCCAAATCAAACAGCAGTGAGTCTTTTTGTTTGTCCAACGTATGCAAACTTCACCTATTGGGTGATACAGTTAAATGAAATCGTGAATTCCATTGGTTGCATGGAGGATTTCATCATGAGCTGACATCAGTTAAAGAACCACTTGAAAACCTGAGAGTATTGGACTGCTGTTTCTTCCTAGTTTACGACTCTTCAGCAGCACGCACCCACCAGGGTTCGCACCCAGGACCCTCTGGTTACAAGGTGAGCTCGTAGACCATTGAGCCACTGGGACCCAATCCAATGGTCCTTGAATTCTAACTTCTGCCAATTATTCTGATGCTCACTAGCGACTGGCCCTGTTCAGGCAGTGATCTGGTATTCTTGTGGGGAGCCGTGACCAGTAGGCTACAGCAGGTAGAAGATGAGGTAGTAACTTATCGGAGAAGACATTGTAAAATGGTCGCGCTATGTCGTGAATTGGCAGAAGTTAAAATTCAAGGACCATTGGATTGGGTCCCAGTGGCTCAATGGTCTACGAGCTCACCTTGTAACCAGAGGGTCCTGGGTACGAATCCTGGTGGGTGCGTACTGCTGAAGAGTCGTAAACTAGGAAGAAACAGCAGTCCAATACTCTCAGGTTTTCAAGTGGTTCTTTAATTGATGTTAGCTCAGGATGAAATCCTCTATTCAATCAAACAAAGTCCTTACAAAACCAATACTTGAAAAATTCCGTTGGTGACCATAGGTAATCCTGCCTTACTCATGCCTCTGCTTTAAGCTATTCTGTTACTAATCACTAGGCATGCAGCATCATCATATAGCTTTAGAATGAGGGGCGAATATATGGCATATCTCTTTTTTGAAGTGGCGCCAACTTTATCATGTGGGTATCAAGGCGTTTCCACAAATACACCAAAATATATCAGCATGGTTTCATGAAAATTCAGAATGATATACGTTTGACTTTTTGCCTTGCTACCTGATTTAATCCATTACATTGTGCAATTGCAGCAAACGCGACTCAGTGAGAGAATATAATGCTACCCACAATATGTGCGCCAGAAAATATTTTTAATGCAAAATCGCATTTAAAAAGCATTCAGAAACTATAACTTACTGTAAGACCACTATAGCAGCAAACTACGGCGCTACAGTTAGAGAGAATATTCATTAAATCTGCTCTCGAACGAGGCTTATGGATGTTTATGGTGCTGTACTGCGTAATTTTGACGCAGCTGTCAAGTTACACTATTCTATCAAGTCCCTTTGTGAAGCCAGTGAAATTAATCTATTGGCTGTCGATCTATCCTTTGTTCGACGGCGGTTCTCAGTATTGCAATTTGTTACGCGTTCGAGCCATTTTTCTTGGTTCTAATAAGTTCTGGGAGTTTTCTATCCGATCCGGGACTAGTTCGAAAACGATCATGACTACAGAAAAGCTGCTATGTGGGCCTGAGTCGTTCTGATTTGGGAGTTTAATAAGATAAACCTTTTCTAAGTAGTCAGGTAGGTAACACAACTTCTGCCTTGCTGGCGTGAACATTTCCCCGACGTATCCCGATTGGTCGTGTCGCAATACGTTAATGTGTTGTCCACAAGAGGTAGTAATGGTACGTGTTTGCAGTGATGATATAAGTTGACGCTTTGTCGTTCTGTTGATGATTGACTAGAGCTTTGAAATCTGTGTTGGCATGTTGCACAGTATGCATGTATATTATGGACAGTCAAATAGCCACACCGTTCCTTGTTATTTCGTGTGTCCTATATCACTCGTAAACTTTGCTGTGAAAGCAAAATGGCGAATTTCACGTAATGACCATTTGACAGCTTTCTCACTGAGTAAATAAGAGGCTTATGATCTGTATTGTTTGTGAGCTTTCTGCTTTCTAGTGTATAGTGAAAGAGTTTGAAGACTTTGCAGATTCCTTTTGACTTTTGATCAAGAAGAGAATGACCTATTACCACTGGATTGAGTTGTGTACCAAAAATACGGCTGCTTTCTAGCCATTGTCAACCGGCTGATTAAGACCTGTTTCTACAGACTGATCGGATGCATCTACGATTAATGCAAGAGGACCACATGTATTTCGCTAAGGCGTCTTTAAGCTGTCCAGCTGCAACGGATGCCCCCTTGGACAACAGAAAGGTCTTTGTATCTTCACTCAGTGCATTAGTAATGGACTGCCGAGTCAGGTATAAAACGCGTGTAGATGTTATTCAATCCCAGAAAAATTAGTATTTAATGAGGAAATGGCAGTGGTGTGCTCCCAGTGCCGTCATTGACATATCCCGGGAACTCTGGTGTTCCTGAACCAAAATTGCCACTACTCATATCGATTATCACGCAGTTCTCTTCTAGCTTGCGTAATGCTGCTCGTATGTGTTCATACCTGGGCTAGTCATAAGCAGGCCATCGACGTAAGCTTTCAAAAGTGGCACTACACGCGACAAGTTATCCATAAATCTTTGAAAAGTTTGTGCGGCGTTCTGTTGACCGATGAGGCGCTTACAAGGTCATACGATCCGAATAGAGGCGGCAAAGGCTGTTTTAGGTATGTCCTCCTCAGTCGCTGGAATACCGTCACTGACGCAGTCTAAGCTACCCTTTAGTGACCAAATTGGCAACTGCAAAACTAGTTGTAAAGTCCTTAATACGGGATGCTGATTAACTATCTGGGGCCGTTCGCTTGTTAGGAGCTCTGTAATCCCCATGACAGCGCCAGCGGGTTTAACTTTTCATGGAAAACGTGTGCAGCATTGAAGCCCTTCGGTCACTCGTGACTTGGATGTTTTCTAACTGAAGCATGTAGTTGAATTCCTCCTTCACTATTTTTAGTTCGTCATGGACTAATCTTCTTGGTCTAGCAAAGATGGAGTGGCCCTATAGAATCAGTTATTTCTGGACCAACCTTGGAAGCATAGGACATGGTCGCTGCTTGTGATTTCCGGAACGTATGGGTTAGTACTGGAAGGGAATGAAGTGAGCTCAAGAGTCAGCAGGTAGTATAACCATAGGTCAGATTTCGCAGGATAGATGAACACACAACAATCAGTAGCGTTACTTCTAGATGAAATCAATTGTAGAAGAGCTCAAAGTTTTTCAGGTGGCACAACTAACTCGTTTCCCGAAATACCGTTCCAGAAAGTCCTTGCTGTAGACCTCCAGTTTTAGGTCAGTGGCAGTGTAAAACTCCATGGGGGCCGTAGCTTACAACCGATGTCAACAGTCAGTATGTTCTGACTGAAAGTAGCGATGTGGGTTACAATGTGACGCGTTACTCTCACTGTCTCACCTGGGAATTTATTTGATACCGATACTGACAGCAGTTTCTGTATCGGCAAAATATCCGACCCCAAATATTTTACCGTAGAATAGGCGAGTGTCCGGCCTTTTATTCTCAGTAGTCATTTTATGAAAAGAGAATAATCATTTGCCTGTTGCTTGTCAGGTAGTTAAGGCCTGCTGCACGGTTGCATACTTCCGTTGATTCTGTGGCAAAATGACACTGGTAACCACAGAGCTACCTCGTCGATGTGATTTACTCAGGTTCCGTTTTCCTGAATGAGCTCTACGGTTTAGATATCTGATCTTATGTTGACCACAAATCCCCAGAACATTGGGCTTTAATCTTTGTTAGTATGGTTCGCCTGCCTTCTAAATCTCCTAATCTCCAGTAGTCATTTAGCAATGTGGTCTAACTGCTCGGGAGAAGATTCTTAATATTGCTCATCCAGTGTCTGTTACACTTACTCAGGGGGATGGGTTCCACCCAGCATTCCTTAAGCATCTCGCTGTCACCAACAGGAGGCTGTAGGTGGCTGAATAACCGTGACAAGGCACCATCTTTCATGTTCTTTCACTGAAGAAACCACGGTAGGTGGTTATTTTTTACCATCGATAGGCGTTTTATCACCTCACGATTAGGCACCGCATATAGTTACTCTCATGGAAAATACATGTTCCTCCACCTCCTTGCTAATCTGATAATGATAGCTGAAGACGCACACCCTTATACCTGGTAGTTTGAGACATCATACTATACCCGTGAAAGTGGTGCTCGAATTGAGCAAGCCGTCGTTCGGGGTCATGCCGATCAAATTCACGAAATCTGACTTTTTTGGTTACTAAAGAATCGAGCTCAGCAGAAGTAGAGTTTTGGGAATCACTTCCAAGCCTTTCAAATGAAATGTTAGAATGAATGAAAGAGGTGAATAAAAAATTACGTAAAAGTAAAAATCTCCGAAGAAAACCAAAATGTACAAAAATAATCAGGCTGCAGTTAACCATGATGAAATACACGACTTGTTGCGAACGAAATGGGTCCACAAATGTTGAAACTGATATTTGTAGTTATATAATTGCTAAAATATACAAGCAGCAGCTTTGATTGTTAAAGAAAATTCATTTCGGTTTTGGGCGTTTATTTCTGAAAGCACTGAGGTGGAGAGAACTAGTTAAACACTGGGAAATACATCCGTGATGACATATCGTTCAATAAATGAACCCTTGCATATCATGAGGAAGATAGAGTTTATGAATGGTTACTCGTATCTTCCCTCTAAATTATTTAGTCGCCAACTACCTCTGGGGGGCAACACCCTTCTTTGTTGAACAGACCCTACACTGTTTCAGAAGCTGAATGATCAAATGACTCGCCTCGTAACCAGAATACTGTTGTTCGATTCAAAGTGCTGTTATGGATGAAGACGAAACAGATGTCAAGAAATTCCTGGTTTCCAGTGCTTCTCTAGTTGGCGTCACCTCGTGATTTAAACTGAAACCGACCAAATCCCAGCAAGCTAATACTCGAAAAGTCCGGCATACTATTTTGAAATGAAAGCCAGATTTTATTCGTCGAGATGGTGGCAATAGCTTTGTAAGAAATTCTATTCCCCAGAATATTATTTCTGTCTCTAAATGACTTATATCTAGAGTACAGAAACACTCCATGGTTTTGTTATAATGCATCAGTGTTACCTTATAATAACACCTACTTTCACAAAATTGTTGTTACGGTTTTTCCGTCATGTAGTTGAATGGTAAGTTATGCATGTATTTTATATTATTCATAGTCTTACTGGAGACAATACCACTGCAGGGTGTTTTTCTGTCTTTGGAGCATATCTGATACATCTCACCTACGGATATCTGTATTCACTAAGTAAGTATATTTGCAGTATGTCTTTCTTTCTTCACACTAGCAAACATGGTGCCATATATAATGGGATATCTTAAAACTTACAGAGATCCAATGATTTCAATTCAGACTTCCGTATGGTTTTCAGGAATATCTTTTGCCTTATTTGGACTCTGTATGCCAGTTGGAGGTGTTTTATCGTGTAGGATTGGATATCGACCAGTTGTAGCTGTTAGCTGCTTTTTGCTGAGGTAGAGTGACTGTATTAAGATGCTCTTATATGCTAAAAACTTCATTATTGTACTCACTATAATTTTATGTCTATCTTTAAACTCCAGATAACTTTACAGTTTACAGTTTACAATTTTTTTAGGATAGTAGGCTATATGCCTGTGTTAATCCTTTCGATTTGTTACACACAGGAGGTCCAATCTCGCCTTGAATGAATCAACGGATGGAGCTGATACGACGTGTTCCGGTAGGGAGTTCCAATGGTTCACAACTCGATGCGAAAAACGGATCTCCAAACGCAGACGATTCGACCGTGGTTTTTGAACCTTGAGGTGATGTCCTCGCAATTGGTTGGTGCTAGAAGGAAGAAATAAATTAGATAAGTTTGCTCCAAAATCATTTCTTAGGATACGGTATGCTAGTATTAGGTCACCCCTAAGTCTTCTGTATGACAGTGGAAATAAACCCAGTCGACTTAACCTCTCTTCATATGAGAGGGTTGAGAAACCTTTTATTAGCTTAGTTCCTACTCTTTGCACCCTTTCTAATAAGTCTATTTCGTATTTGAAACACGGGCTCACTGCCTGGATCCCATATTCCAAATGAGGTCTGATATAAGTCGGATATAATATACGAAATATTTCAGTGTCAAAATTCGCAAAAGCTTTGCGTATGGCCCATAATATTCGAAAACCTTTAGTGGCTGCAGCTCTACAGTTTGTTGCTGTTTTCAAGTCATGCTGCACAACCACTCCTAAGTCCTTGTACTCAGTGACCACTGGAAGAGTAATACCATTCATTGAGTAATTGTGCACGTGACTATGAGATACATGCATAACTACACTTTTGCTTAAGTTAATCTCCAAGGCCCAGTGCTTACACCAATCACTTAACAAGTTTAAATCTTCCTGCAAAGCAAGTTGATCACTGTCATCGTGTAAAGCCCTCCATATCTTGATGTCGTCAGCAAACAGTAAGCAGGATGACCTAACTACCGATGGAATCTCATTAACATAAATCAGGAAAAGAAGTGGACCTAGAATTGTACCCTGAGGAACGCCACTCTTAACCGATTCCCATGTTGATAAAACCCTGTTAACTCGTACTCTTTGTCTTCTGTCCTTTAGAAAGTCTTGAATCCAGTCGGCAACCACTTTATTGATTCCCATACTACCTAACTTTACTAGAAGACCTGAATGAGAAACCCTGTCAAACGCCTTGCTAAGGTCGATGAATATGGCATCCACCGGTATATTAGCATCAGCTGAGCTTGCCCAACTTTCTCTGGCCAAAAGAAGGTTGGTCAAGCAAGAATGACCTGCTCTAAAACCATGCTGTTCCACAGCGAAAAGTTTGTTCCCTTCAATGAACTGAATGATAGCATCACGAATTATTCTTTCTAGTAGTTTAACAACAATACTGGTCAAACTAACAGGACGATAGTTCTGAACCAAGTTTCTAGATCCGGTTTTGAAGACCGGACTAATGATGGCATCTTTCCAGTCTCTTGGACATTTAGACTGGTCCAGAGACATATTGAAGATTACCGACAATGGCTCGGCTATGTTTTCAGCCAATGCTGTTAATATACGTGGGTGGAGTTCATCAGGGCCACTGGACTTACCAGGATTGAACCTTAGTAGGTACTTTAGGACAGTATCCTTTCCAATGTATAAGGGTGCCATTTTCAAGTTACCTTCTGGAAGAGTTACAAAGCTGGTATCAATATTATCAGAGAATACTTGACTAAAGTGCTTGGACAAAGCCTCAGCCTTAGTCAAGTTCTCCTCAGCCATGTTTGTCTGGTCATCTTCAAGCATAAGAGGTGGGATAGCATCACTCTTACGTGTTCTTCTCTTGATATATGAGAAGAGTCTTTTTGGGCAGCCTGGTGAACTTTTAACTAACTGGGTTTCGTAAGCTATCCTTGACTGGTGAATCAAAGTTTTACACTGGTTTCTGGTTTCACAGTATTTCAGCCGGAACTGCTGTAGCCCAGTAGAAACAAAGAGATTCCAGAACCTTTTTCTCCGTCTCAGGAGTGCTATAGCTTGTCTATTTATCCATGGTGGCCGGTTTGTTGGTCTTTTAGGAACCCTCCAGGGAATGAAATCAGTGGTAACCCTCTCAAGTGTATTCTTAAATCTATCCCATTCATCTTCAATGGATGAGACAATATTGACTGACCAGTCGGCAGTTGAAGCACACTCCTTTATAGAGACTATGTCAGCATGCCAAACACTAGGTCGGGATTTGGGTTGAAAACTGACTAAATTGCCAACCCTTAAGTTAAAATCTAACACCCCATGATCACTGTTTGCTAGAGGTGGATGAATAACCAGACCATCCACGTCGTCGTTGTCATGAGTAAGCACTAAGTTCAGCAAGGAAGATCCTTGGGTAGAACCGAATCTTGTACTACCTAAGACATGTTGTGTCAGGGCATTTTCCATGGTAGTCAAGAGTAACCGGCTGTCAAACTTATTAGTGGATCCTGGAGATGTGCCAGCTACCCAGTCTATATGAGGTGCATTAAAGTCACCTAGAATAAGACAGCTACTGTGTTTACTCCATTGTTTGAGGTGATCTAAAATAAAGTCATCACACTGACAAAAGGGACTTCTATACAGAACACCAATGAGTAAAGTGCCAGTTGCAAAGCTTACTTCACAGCTAATTACCTCACTTGTCCCACTGTCATGCGCTTCAGATTTCACGGAACGAACATGTAGGGAGTTGTTGATGTACAGAGCAACCCCGCCACCTCTACGACCCTTAACCCTGTCGCTGCGCAAGCAACTAAATCCTCATAGCTCAGGTGTGTCATCTAATCCAGAAATCAGCCATGTTTCAGTAATGGCCACAATACTTGGGCTAAGGTCTTCCACTAATACACCTAGCTCATGAAATTTGTTCCCGATACTACGTATATTAGTGTACACTACCTTCAGGCTTCCTTTTTGGTTTAAATTTGCCAGTGAAAAATATGGTTTTAGATTGAAGATTTACATTTATTCGGGTTATATTCAACTGTCCTGAATGCTGTTTAGAAAGTGTCTGATCATCAAATTGTCCCGAAATTCATGAGTTCATTAAGAAAGTTGTCATGTATTCGCTTTCATCTAGCAGGTTCTAGGACATTTATTGACTTTATGTTCAGAGAAAAATTAGTAGTACGGCAATTATTGCCACTAATATCCCGCTTCCTATGCATGGTAGACGACTAACAGGTAGAACAGCGAATTCTAATCACGGTAGCGTCATAGTTATAACATATCTCATACTGCTAATCATATATAACCTACTTTTGATACCACTTCTCTCGGAGTCTACTGAGGCCACTGTAAACGAGTGAAGTGGTGGACTTTGCCAAGGCTTGCTGAAGATTAGCGGTCGTTACCTAACTACCAGGAGGCGAGTACATAGAAATTACTTTTGTTAACGCTTGCCCATAAAAATGATATTTGATACTTGATTTTACGTTGCTGCTTTTCTTAATTTAATGCAATTTGAACATTTTAACTTTTCTGTACATTGTGGGCTTATTACAACAGGATGCAGTATGCGACTACATTCCGGTCAAATAATTGGTGGTTAGATGTCAGTTTAGACTTTTATGAGTATGTTCTGGCCTTTGTTTCGTTTGTCTAAGTAGGTCTCAAATCTAAGATAATAATTAATTCACGATTCAAGGAAGGAGGTAGACGTAAAGTCTTATGCTCCTGCTATTAGATGTTTTCTGAAACGTCTAAAGTATAGCTGAGGTGTTTAAAACAAGAACCATTTGGTAATACAAAGTCTTTCAACCGACGTGAGGCTATGCTTAGAAGAGTTGGTCTATTAATTTTATTGCTAACGAATGCCTTACTTATTGTTGTTGGAGTTGTGAAATTTTCTATGTACAGATTTTATTTATATTTCTCTGGGACTAATCACATTAATATATAAGAGCTTCCAATTGTGTACTATCTGTGAGTAGATACAGACGTCTCTTGAAGTGTGCTGATGTCACTGAGTATTAATAACATTCCTGCATACCACTTGATCAGCACTTGTTTGGTCACTACAATCTAGAAGTACTTAACTCATGATTTTCTAGGATACTATGTTTCAGTGTTTCGCTTTTCTATAATTATAATTTGTAGATGGTTGGTTTGAAGTTACCAAACTTGCTTGAATGAAATTTCGTTTACTTGTTTTACTCATAAACTGCAGGAATGTCTGTTGAAGATATATTAACTTTAGACATGCGATATCTATCAAACATGATATGTCTGGTACACCTTTTTCTTTTCCACTGTTAACTTTAAGGTTTGCTAGTATTCCAGTTGATTTAAGTCTTTCAGATCTGAGAGGCATCCAGTTACTGTGTGAAATACTGTTTGATTTAGTTTTTAGAACGTTTTCAGAAGTTTAAGCAAGGCAAGAAAGCATATAGTTGTTGGATAGAACAGCTCATTTTCTATTTCATAGCTTTCCTCGACCTTCTCATAGCCTAAAATGACAGAAGTTACCACAACTGAAAATGTATGATGCCCTACAAAAGTTATTTCAACTCAAATGGTGTTTAATAATTCTTAACATAGTAATGGAACAAGAAGTGCGAATGTAACATAGTTATTGAGTGAAAAACTATGGTTTATGTGTGCATGATATGGTGGGTGTTCGTGAAAAAAAAGGTGAGAATAAAAATATGTGGTAGGTTAAGGTAAAATTAATACATAAACAAATAACTAAGCAAATGGGAATATTAATAATGAGTCCAGCTCAGTGGTCAAAAATCAAATGCCAAAAATTGTGAGGCAACAAAATTAGCAGAAAAGGGGATATCCAATCACTGGGATAGTGCAAAATTAATCCTACTACATTTCTCTATCGAAAAGCAGTTGGTTCTGAAAAGTAAAGTAACCATGATTCTCTTTGAATATCGATTTAGAAGTTATGACTGATTCGACCATATGTCCTATATTATTCAGGTACCTGGTAATTTCAATTGCGAACACTTTCTCAATTTTCAAACAAATACTGTTAGGGATATACCGAGAAAATCTAGTAGACGATCTTCCCTTAGTCCCTCCTATGTAGGTGTTTCCGCAAGTGCATGGAAATTAGTAGATGCAGTTAGATTTCACATGAGCAGGATACATATATACTTCGTATTACCAAGCAGGACTGTTCTAGGGGTGGGATATATCATTTTCAATGCATCTTTAGTCATATTTTCTGTTTTTGTTGATGTCGCTTCTCATTTGCTTCCCAGTTATCATCAGCTACTCATCAATTTCGTTTTCTAAACATAAATTACTCGCTTTATTGAACGGCGTTTTGGAAAAACTTCATTCGTAATTTTCTTGGCAAATATTACAATAATTTAAGTATTAACCAGTTCATATTTCCTTTCTATGGATAGTTTTTCAGTGATATTGTTATTTCTCCATTTTATACTAAGATTTAGACAAATGAACTGGTTGTTGCGTTTATAGTTCTTTGTAAAATGAATATGAGGGTGAGCTATATTGAGTTTCACAAACATCGCCGATGAATGGTCCAGACGACTGCAAGCAACAAATATGTCGTTAATATACCTTCAGTAATATGTGGTCTTCTTCGTCTCTTATTTCAAATACATTTTTCTTCAAGATAGGCTATAGATGTGTCCACAAAAACAGGGCTTGTAGTAGAGCTCAGTTTGCTGGTACAGTTGGTTACTGGAATAGAACTGAAAATTCTTTGTACATAGAAGCGACAATTGTCCCAAGTAGTTTTCAGCATAAGGAAGAAATTTTGATTATTGATATGTGATTACCACTGTTTCTTCAATGGATATGCTTGTCAATAGTAAATGAACATTATATGATTGTACGAGTCTGTATGAAATATCTGTTTTCTTCAGCTTTATTCAAAAGTAGTACTGGTTCCTTTGTACACAGCCCCTATTTTACGATTTCATCAAGAAACAATGGACACTGTGGAGTTGAACAGTTGTGTAATCAATACGGGTGTGTTAATATATAAATAATATAATCTCCGTTCAAGTGTTACTAATAACGTACAAATTCTCGAAGGTAATAATTTAAGGGGCCAACTCTACATAATGTTTTCCTTTAGATGTCAAGTGCATGCAAAAGCAAATCGGTTTTCCAATTTCGCTTCCTCATCCCATTATGACTATTGGCGTACTGTGGATGTAGTGCATGTGTTTGAAGAGGCCATCCACGGGTCAAAGGATGTTTAACGTATGATGATGCCAACCTTCAAAAAATTCTAAAATTTTGCATCACTAGACAGATCTGTTCAAAGCTAGAAATTATTGATTTCACAACTTAAACTATAAAAAAGGTCAGACACATTGTAAAGGCAAGGCAGTAGCGAAGAATATTGTGTTGGTGGTTAACATGAAAACATATGTTGAAAAATTCCAGTTAACTAGGCGTGAAATCTGTGCTATCACATACGCTTGAAGAGAAGTGAGCAAGAGAGAGTAAGAGAGAGAGAGAGATAGAGGAGAGCGATAGGAGTAGAGATCGAGAAATGTGTTGTCTTAACTGCGAAAATTGAAAAATAATCATAACACTCAAACACAACTTTCAAATATCCAATCGGACATCATCTGACTCAAGAATTGTACGACATAAACTTGTGTACATGAATGAATCACCACGAGTACGCTTCATTTTTATACCGAGTATACGACTATGTTGATCACGAGAGTTGGATGCTCCACGTGTTGACGCAGAACCTTTCGATGTCGTAGATGTATTCGTGTTTATGCCGCATGATGGATTCATAGAAGCATCATTATTATTGGAGGAATGAACAGAAGACATTCCACCAGGGGATGAAGATCTTAGCGTCATACGACGTCGAACTGAAGCTTCCACTGCTCGAGCTGAGACATATACTAATTCTAATTCAAAGGACAGAACTGTTTTACCCCAATCATTGTCAAACACACACACAGAAAACCGGACCCCTTTAGCGTAAAACGTATCGAGTGTTGTTTTAAAGCTGCAGTGATTCGATCAAATACCTGACCAGGACTTAAATCATTTCGAACAATTAAAACATTATTCAAGTGACGAGTTTTTCTCAATCGATCAACAACCAATCGACCATCTGGTACAACCTTTTTCGGTGTAAGCGCTTTTCGCAGACGTCCAAAATTACGCCAACCGCTAACTTCAGCACTGGCGCCAGCACCAGAAGTCGAACTAGTACCACCACCACCAGCATATTCATCAGCTGAACTTTGAGATTGTGAATAGTCATCACCACCGATGACAGCACCAGGACTTGAGTGAAGCGATGATACGTCATGCTTTAGTTCAGATGCTCCTGATGTATAGGCTACTACTGATAGATTGTCTTCACTTGTCGTCTCACTGACGGATATAGGATGCCGTCTATCCGTCAATTGTGTATTATGAAATTCACTTGTTAAATTGATCATCTGTGAATCAATCGATCGACTTGGAGAGATACCCGGATGCGCCGTTATTTTACCTCGAACTGGTTGAATTTTCCGATTAACTGAAATTGATGAATCACGATAAAGTGAATGAGGTGGGAAATTTTCAATATCACCTTTTGTAGGAATATTCCAGTGTTTATTATTATTATGATTATTATTGTGAGAAGTGAATATGGACGATCTTCGACGCCATCCATGGGTAGTTGAAGGTTTTATGGGTCACCCTGTGGATTTAGATGAAGAGAAAATCCCAATGTCGCCACTGAACATGCAGATTGTTGCTGAAATAACTGCTTATACTCGGATTCCGAAAGTGGAGGTAGCTAGAATGTTACAAAAGCGTCCATATGATTATATAATGGCTACCTATATGATTATGGAGTCAGTTTTAGAAGAAGAAGATGTTTTCATGAAAACCTATTATGATTAGGTTTTCATGAAAACATCTTCTTCTTCTAAAACTGACTCCATAATCATATAGGTAGCCATTATATAATCATATGGACGCTTTTGTAACATTCTAGCTACCTCCACTTTCGGAATCCGAGTATAAGCAGTTATTTCAGCAACAATCTGCATGTTCAGTGGCGACATTGGGATTTTCTCTTCATCTAAATCCACAGGGTGACCCATAAAACCTTCAACTACCCATGGATGGCGTCGAAGATCGTCCATATTCACTTCTCACAATAATAATCATAATAATAATAAACACTGGAATATTCCTACAAAAGGTGATATTGAAAATTTCCCACCTCATTCACTTTATCGTGATTCATCAATTTCAGTTAATCGGAAAATTCAACCAGTTCGAGGTAAAATAACGGCGCATCCGGGTATCTCTCCAAGTCGATCGATTGATTCACAGATGATCAATTTAACAAGTGAATTTCATAATACACAATTGACGGATAGACGGCATCCTATATCCGTCAGTGAGACGACAAGTGAAGACAATCTATCAGTAGTAGCCTATACATCAGGAGCATCTAAACTAAAGCATGACGTATCATCGCTTCACTCAAGTCCTGGTGCTGTCATCGGTGGTGATGACTATTCACAATCTCAAAGTTCAGCTGATGAATATGCTGGTGGTGGTGGTACTAGTTCGACTTCTGGTGCTGGCGCCAGTGCTGAAGTTAGCGGTTGGCGTAATTTTGGACGTCTGCGAAAAGCGCTTACACCGAAAAAGGTTGTACCAGATGGTCGATTGGTTGTTGATCGATTGAGAAAAACTCGTCACTTGAATAATGTTTTAATTGTTCGAAATGATTTAAGTCCTGGTCAGGTATTTGATCGAATCACTGCAGCTTTAAAACAACACTCGATACGTTTTACGCTAAAGGGGTCCGGTTTTCTGTGTGTGTGTTTGACAATGATTGGGGTAAAACAGTTCTGTCCTTTGAATTAGAATTAGTATATGTCTCAGCTCGAGCAGTGGAAGCTTCAGTTCGACGTCGTATGACGCTAAGATCTTCATCCCCTGGTGGAATGTCTTCTGTTCATTCCTCCAATAATAATGATGCTTCTATGAATCCATCATGCGGCATAAACACGAATACATCTACGACATCGAAAGGTTCTGCGTCAACACGTGGAGCATCCAACTCTCGTGATCAACATAGTCGTATACTCGGTATAAAAATGAAGCGTACTCGTGGTGATTCATTCATGTACACAAGTTTATGTCGTACAATTCTTGAGTCAGCTGATGTCCGATTGGATATTTGAAAGTTGTGTTTGAGTGTTATGATTATTTTTCAATTTTCGCAGTTAAGACAACACATTTCTCGATCTCTACTCCTATCGCTGTCCTCTATCTCTCTCTCTCTCTCTCTCTTACTCTCTCTTGCTCACTTCTCTTCAAGCGTATGTGATAGCACAGATTTCACGCCTAGTTAACTGGAATTTTTCAACATATGTTTAAATTATAAAGACTAAATTTTTCATGTGATTGCATCAATAGTGCATCATGTAGTTTTACAAGGGTCCACGAGAATAAAGTTGATATATGTAAGTGCTTTTGATTTCACAGATGTTGTAAGTAGGCATTTTGAGATATGCATCTCAACAAGATCATGAATAAAGTTGCTAGTAATTTCATTTCATATTAAACAGACTAAATTATTGTTTGTTTCTATTATTTACTTTAGTGGTGGTGTTCTACTAACTTATTTTACAATTCAGAAAGTGTATGTTGGAGTCCTTATGACCTATTCTTTTCTGTTTGGAACTGGTGTCGGACTAGGATTCTCCGTCACTTTGGCTGTTGCTGCGACGGCAAATACCTTGATACAGATTTGATTTATCCGCAATACACAGTTCTCTAGCCAGTCACGTAACACATTTCAGTAAATTTTATTTTCATTCATGATTTCAGTACTGAAAGGTTAACGTGATATGGACACTTGTTTGATTTACTAAATGATAATCAACATACAACAGTTTGTGATAAAGAGTATAATTTTATATTCAACGTTTGTTTTATGAAGTTAGAAAATTTTCCGTAACAATGACAGTTTCAATTCAGTGGTTCTAAATTCTGCTTTCGACTTAATTGAGAAATCTAGAGAAAGAAAATGTTTACTACGGTTCAGTTGGTGATAAAAACATAAGCTTTTATTTGGATTTTCACTAGGGTTTTAGTTACCACTGTCTAAAACTGATGCATCGGCTCTTTACCATCTTAAGAAGTATAATGTTCTAGGATAAAAATACACCTGATCTTATGATTTATTTATTTAAAAAACTAGGCGTAAAATCACTTATTAATGCATTTTTAAAATTCTCCAAGTACTCCAACGAATGAAAGTAATAGTTTCTCGTTTTTAATAAGTATGATGATGCTTTCATAGCAAAACATACAGAGATTTATCCTCTTTTGTTTAGTGGTTCCCTGAACAAAGAGGATTGGTTGTTGGGCTAGTAGTCAGTGGTTACGGAATGGGATCCTTAGTATTCGGTCCTATTCAAACGGCTCTTATAAATCCGCATAACGTGCGTGTAAACAATGTAACAAGGTAATTTGACATTGAAATTAAATTATTATTATTATTATTATTATGAACAGCTAATTTGAGTGATTTAATACTAACGAATGCATTCATATCATACTAGACTACACATTCTCACAACAGAGTCAACAAATAAGTAATGTATGAGGTGAACAGAAAGAACATGCGTGTCAAAAGTTCAAAGCACGTTGATCTGTGATTTTAAATGTCCCATATATAATTCATACAAATTATTTTGTAGCCTGTTTGAAGGAAAATCCTACTTTGTCTTATTAGTTGCAATCCATAAAGATCGGAAAGTTGCAAAAGTGAAAGAGAATCTTTTTTAGTCTCTACTTCACTTTCCATTGGTAATTGTAATGAGTTAAAAGAAAAAGATGTAATATTTTGCTTCAATAAGTAATGTTCAGGGAAGTGATAACATCTGCGAGTACTAACGCTCCTCTAGTTTTCCTTCAAACGTATATGCGTAAATTAAAAGTGTAAATAAAAGGTAGAAATTTCCAAATGACAGTGAATTAAGTGATATTTCAAAATTCATCCATATAAAGTGGTATTTTATGATAGAAAATTTACAAAGTTGAGTAACTGGAATATATAAGTAATACACTGAGACAGAATTTCGTTGTTTACATACTTTACCTTCAAATTTTTATCGTATTTTTACTCAAAATCTGGTCATGATGTTACTCATTTTGATTATAATCTGGGAGAAAGCAAAACTGATAAAACCGACTTCACAGTTGTTCAAAACTCGTTCGATCTCAAGACAGACTCTGTTTATCTTAATGGACAGTAACGGTCATAAATTTTAGTCTTAACCGCAGGAAATTTACCCTGTTGACATTCAGTAATAAGCGATACGGACCGTTTAGGATTATTGAGTGTGGTGGATGAATGTTGGTGTACTCTAAGTGTTTCACCACTGATGGGGTGATGGGTGCACACTGATGAACAGTTCAAAACTATGAAGAAAATGCTGTCTGGTGCTTCCTGGTGATAAATGGTTCTGTAACTAATGATTATTCGGTGCAGAACCCACCATAAATAAACCATATCCGGTAACCAATGTCAGCTTGTGATAAGAATTACTTCAAGAATGCTTCTGATGTAACTATAAATATTATCGCTACATTTTTTATTGAAATGGAAAGTATGTGTCATAAAAAATGTTGCGAAATGAATTCAAACTGGACACTATCAGCAGAATGCTATTTTGAAAGTTAAAATTGAAATTTCAGTGCGACATGTAATTGGCTCATAAATATGGTTAATCCATTGAAGAAGACTCTATATTTTGAAAATGGGGAAAAAACGTTCTCTTTATTGATGTAGGAGTGACGTAAATATCTGTGTATAGTTCTGTGACTGAAAACAACTACTGTACAATGTGTGTTGTATTCAAATTGAAAGATTCCTCAGATTCTTGGTGAGCGCTGAATACAATTAATTATCATTTACACCACAACTATAACAAGTTAATTTAAAATTATAGATTTGCTTTAGTTTTTTTATAATATTGGGTTTGTAGACAATTTGACAACAAGGAAATGCTTGATCGATTGCCAGATGCGTTTCTTATTCTGGGAGGTATCCTTCTAGCTACGCAGATAATTGGTTTTATATTTCTTCGTCGAAAGCCCAAGATGGAAGCTGTAAGTTTTATGTGATGCATAGTTTTTTTAAACTTTATATTTATCTAACTAAAAAGATGAGTGGAACTCATTTCATTATTCACTGACACATCTAATAATTTATGGAGAGTAATATCACTCTAACAAACAAAAACATATATTTCACTTCTTACTAAGTTTAGTAATGCAGATGTCACAAAGCCTGTTGGAGAAACAAATACCAAAGTTCACAGAGCATCAAAATGATCTCCGGGTTATTATCCAGCCACAAGTTTGGTATGCATGAATTCATGGTGTAACCTTCAAAATAAATACCCCATGGATGTGAATTATTATTATGATTATTCCATTAGGCTCCAAGTGAAACATAGGGCTTCAACAGCACATCTCCATTTCATCTTGTTCTTTACAGTGCTTTATAGTTGGCATCATGATTGCACATAAGCTTTCATCTGCTGAATGACATCCTTGCAGTACAAAACTTTAGATTCTGAATTATCGCTCAAAAAATCTGTTGGGAGTATAGTTTAAAATAAACTGAGTATGACAAGGAAATGCATGTGTTTCAAAGTTCTACAATTTGTCATTTGTAAGATATGATTTTTGTCCCTCCCAATTTGCTCAGTGAAATTTATATGACATTAGTCATGGTCAGAGTAATTTATCACCACTTCACATTTTGTAAGAAATCAGTCCTTCATTTTGAAAAATGATACCTTGTTGTAGCTTCCACAATACACAAAGGAGTCAAGTGTCTGTCACTTAGTTGTGAACTGCACTTAATAATCAGGTTTGAGTATAACTATTTGTTGATATAAGTATAAAACTTGGGCACTGTGGTAGGGCATAACTCAATTATGGATAAAATCTTATCCATAATGGAGTTATGTAACTATTTGTATTAGGGAATTCAAATAAAACTTGGATTAGTAAGTTTCAGCAACTGTTCATCTGCTTACCAGTACAATAAATAATTCCTGATAAGGAATGAAGTTCATGAAAGTGAATTCGTTAGTACCCTAACCGTATTGTGAGACCTGAAACCTTTGAAGAGTATTATCATCCTTTACATAGCTGCTTATTTGACATATCTATATTTAAATTATGAAAAGTATTCATAGGATATAAATTTAAAAAAGACATAGACCAGCTAAAGATATTCTATTCGTAACTTCTCGTCAAAGCCGTACAGTTATATAATGTTGTGAAAGGAAGTGGAAATATTTATGTAGGTAAATTATTAGTATCAGTTAGTAGCAAAACATATGAAGAAATTACATGTCAGGGAAAATGATGAATAAATTATGAAACTTAACGTAATTTGGAAATATTAGGTGATGGATACTTCCCAGAAATGATTACTACATAAGCTGCAGGTGCCTGAGAACAGGAATACTGTTCACAAGAGTGATTAATAATGTGTATCGACTATATCTTAAAATAAAAGAAAGAAGGAAAAGAATGAGAAGAGAAAAAGTGGATGATCATGGATTTAACTAAGACGATAAAGGAATAGCTTCAGTATATATATATATATATATATATATATATATATATATACACTCACAATTTTAAAACACATTTGATCAAACTTATATGGGCTAGTATTGGTGATACTGTCAACTATTTCTAATATGGACGCCCAGTATCTCCTAGCTTTTAATAGTACTGTATTTCTGTTAAATTTCGACTAATCGTATCTAAGAAATTATTTCTGTGCAAACCAAGATACGGATTTCTCATATTTATAGATAATACATATTTACAATATTTCTTCACTGGTGCATAGTTAGAAGAAGAATGAGTAACACCAGCTGATTTCAATTGCGAGCAATAGCCTTTAGTCAGTCAAATAAATTACTTATACCTTTAGATTCTAGGACAGAAATGCCAATATATCCACAGTAGCTTGTAACTGAAAGTAACCAATTTGACTTCTTGAAAATACATTCTAGTATGTAAATTGCACTTAAGGGTATTGTTTTAACAAGCCTTAAGGAATCAATATATATTTACCAAACCTGATTTTGATATAGGAAAGGTGACAACATCCTGTCAATATTACTACTGTTTTAAGATTGACAATCGAAACGTTATTGTAGCAATGAAAAGTATAGTTCTCTCTCACTGGATTTATTCATGTAATCAATGCAGGTTAGGTGAAGCTACGGTGACTATTGTTTAGTCAGATATATTTTAACCAGTTCTGTGTAATTCAGTTCAAACGTTTACAATACGGTTTCTGAATACTTTAGGTAACCTTCTGGTCCTTTTCCACTTTTTGAAACTTCCAGGTGGTATTTTTAAGACTATTGTATTGTTAAACATTTAACTCAAGCAAGTATAGCTTTGTAACGCTACAAGAAGAAAGATTTGGTAAAGGAATGTTTACTTGCATTTTGGTATCTCCATATAGCGAAATTATGTATACCTTATCTTTAACACACCATTTGCACAGATCTTCTGTGTTGTACTACTTCTGGTCTTCATACTGTATTTCTTTGTGTTCCTTTCACGCCTACCATGTATCTCCTCAACGCTGTATCATTTGCTTTCTCTGACATAATCTATCTCCCTGTTATTTGATGTTTTTTATACCGATGAACATCTCTCATATACTGCTGATAAATCTTACCAATAGCACATGTCGCAACTTCTCAATGGTGTACAATACTGATTAAAAATTTTTTTACTTTTATGTAGCGTATAAACTGTTGAACATTTTAGGCTGAATGCGATAAACTGCCCTAAGCATGTTTGATAGACTTGCAGCAGATGAATGTTTCTTTTTCATGAAATAAAAATACAGTTATAAGTAAGCTTATTCAACAAATAACAAACAGGCTATTTCAGGCAGCATGTTATCTAACTGACGAAATCCAAATTTTGGAGCTCGTACGCTTCACGTTATAAAATCTATATTCATCTTATGCTTGAAGTACTTTATTGTTTTGGCTGCCTCAAGTGAGTTGTCTGTCGAAGACTGTGATTGTTTTTCCTTCGGGATGCTGCCATATGCTACATATTATTCCATGTTGAACGATAACTTGACAACTAACTAGTATTGCTGCATGTCTGAATGATGTCAGTAACACAAGCTCAGTCAGCCAGTTAAAACATGAATAAATCTTTTCGTACATAACACATAAAATAACTCGACTATTAGGACTTAAACTTAAATCACTAAAATACTGAAAATTACTTTTAGTTGAAGAAATTACAATATCGGTTCTATTTATTCTCATCATCAGTAAGATGATGTTTAGATCTTTTGGAGCAGGTCATGTTAATTTAAATTTGTCTTTGGGAATTTTTACCTTTTCTACCTTCCTAAACAGAAGTTGTATTGAATTTTTCGATTACCTTAACCCTTTTTGTATATTTTTTCTATTAAGTATCTTACAATGTTTACTCAGATCCTCACGTATGAACACCTAAGTGAAATTTGTAAGAATTGCAGTCGTGAACAACAGTTATGACTGTTGATGGTACGTTAAAAATTTCAGAAATAAGACAATTCTGACTACACACTAACGTAATTATGTAAGCGGTGTCTAGATATTCAGTCTTTTATGTTTATCCCTACGTAGGCTAAACAACTAGTTAAACATGAGAGATTTACGTCAACCGCCATTGTAAACATTTTTTTGATGTATTCCATACAGGTGGAAGAAATAAAAGAAACCGCAAGTGAGAAAAGTTCTACAAAGTATGAAACCGAAGATGATGTAAGTTTTACCGAATCCCTGTAATAACAATAATACGGGCTTCGTACACTGTGGAATTCTCAGCTTTTCGTACAGTATTGAATGTATTATTCTTTTCACTCTACATAGTACTTTATGATATTTACAATAGTGGTTATAATGTATGTGAATGCAAAAAATGAATTACAAATTGACAAGAATAGTGATAACAATGTATTAACTGTATAGAGACAATCGACAGAGCCGTTTATTTACAGTGTCTCAGTAAGTTTTTTTTCATGCCCAACACTTTCTTCACCACATAAGATGAGTGCTGATTAAAGTATCTTTGATTTCTTATACTTAGTTGTACGATCATAAAGTCTCTTGTAATTGGTGCTGCTTATAAGCGAGAAGAAATTTGTGAATAAAAAGAGATCCCAAAGTCCAGCATGATGATTTTTGTCAGTGTTTTTCATGAGTTCAAGAGTTTGTTTCCAACAATATTACCAAGTTGGCCTAATAGCATACCCCTCCTCCTTTGGACGGCTTCCATTGTTATTTGTAGTGTAACAAAATCTTTTTAAGTAGCACAGGAGGGATTAAAGGGCAAACAAAGAAAAGTAGACAAAATGCAAAAGTTAACAATCTGGAAAAAATATAGCTAGATTGATACCAGGTTGTCTTAACTTATTTTCTTAGGTCAAAAGGTATATTTTTCTGAGAATCAACAGCATTTGAGACAACCAGGAAAGATAAGGAAAGAGACTTATCCAGGATATTTAGCACTCAATGCCATCTATTTTAACTTTTGTTTCGGATGTCAGCAAGACATATGCATTACTTCAAATCTATGGGTCTTGTAAAATCAATAGTAATGCTGTACAGAATAGGTCAGATGATAACTGTCTTGTTATTAGCCTTTCTTCCTATCCTTGCTGGTGGTCGCTTGTCTTTTATTATGACAGTGAGAATAATTTTATTGCTGTTTTGATATTCTTGTAAGTGGCGCCAAGTGGATCATATTTAACAAGAAAGATCCCATTGTAAAAACAAGGGGTAAAAACACTTTAAAAGTAATTATTTAATAGACCTAGTTCACTCTAATTCATCTTTTTCAGCTGTTTTCTCCTTGAATTATTTCAATAATTTATTTCTTTGACTCACAGCTTTTTTCCTCACCCTGTGGATTGATGACCACAAGATACATCAACGGCTAAACTGTTGTTCACCTTGCAGCAGAACATGTCAAAGTTTACGAATTCAAAGAAGCTAATTACGCTCCAAGCAATATACCAACTTTTAAAAGGTTAAATTACAACCATACTGCTTTCACGCTTATAAGAAATACTGCATAATTATATCATTTACTTATTTATCACCGTTGTTTATTTATACATGAATACATGAGTGGATACAATCATAACATTTTTTAAGAATAACTAATCTTTCTTCAGATTCTTTGGAATATACTTTGATTAATATAACTTGTTATTGGTAATCAACTTTTTTAACTTGCGACTACTGTAGTGATGCATTTCACGGGATATTATCATGCACAGTGCATATATTTATTGAATACTCTGATGAATCAAGCTGGATGCTACAACTTAGTTTGAATTTTCCTGAAGTTGAATCAAACCTTTGTTTGAATGCTGGTAAATATTACTGGAATGCATTCATTAGGCCTTCAAGTACATAAAAAAGTATATGACAGTGAATAATCGGGTGGTCCGCATAAGATTCACATAACTTTCGACGCTGAAACTCGTCACTCGTCAGATAATAGGAAGTAGATTGAAGTTGCTCTTTAAAATGGTTTGAGTTAGACTACATAACTTTCTCCTATGAATTTCTTTCAGGGCATGCAGTTCATGTAGTATGTAGTCACTAACATATCCCCTGATTTAATTAAAATTCAACAAAGTAAACAAACACTCCTTATCATAAAAAGTCCTGAAATGCTTGAATGGCATATTCATTATTTCATCATCATCGCTCATTATCTTATGACATGTACATATTGGCATTTTATCCGGAAAGTTGAACGTAAATAAATGTTATACAATGAAGTCACAAAGAGGATATGTATTTCAATGCTCAGCTTTGAAAAATATTATCAGTTTTTCACCAGTAATCGCCGGCATATTGTTCTAACAAATCGATTTTACAAGAATTTAGTGTTACTTGCAAGCTCATTAGCTGTGTATTTAATATTGATGTCCCTACAGCGGTAAATAATTCCCCAGAATTATTGGCCACAGCACTCATCACTGAACATTGGATGCTGACCCTCACTGTTTAAGTCGACTTGTTTAGCTGAAGGCTTCCGGTCAAGCATCCATGCCATTTGGTACTTCGTCGTGTCACGTTCGTGCACGATCACTAGCCAGCTAAGAAATCATCTCCCACTCCGATTTGGTCCAGAAATGTGTCTCGTAATTTGGACGACCAATTCTGGTTTTTTGCTTTGCCCTTGGTCTACGCGGAACGAATACTTTGGAAGTTGTTGGTATTAGATCTTGCGTTAGTATTATTATTATTGTTTCCTTTAATTCCTAGAGGAACATAGGGCTTCAGCCATGCGTCTCCATTGCGTTCGGTTCTCTGCTAGAGTCTTCACCTGGCTCCAAGTTTGCCCACACGTTTTCATCTCCTCTTCACATGACCTCCTCCAAGTCACCCTTGCACTGACGACCAACTCGCCGCTTCCCTTTCGGCTTCCACTCGAGCAGTGGCTTGTCTAGTGATGTCACTTGATGGTTTCCTCAGAGTATGACCAATCCAATCCACCTCCATTTCTTCCTGCCTATTTGTTTCACAATCGGTTCCCAGAGATCCCTGTTGCTGATCTTTTCTGGTCATCTGATCTTGAGTATTGAGCGAAGACAACTGTTGATGAAGGTCTGTAGTTTGTTTGAGATGCTCTTTATGACGCACTGGCCAAGTCTGTGATCCGTATAGTAGCACTGTCTTCACATTGGAGTTGAAAATCCGGATCTTATTTTTGATGCTGAGTGCCGCTGACCTCCACACAGACTTGAGAGTAGTGAAAGCTTGTCTTGCTTTTCCGATTCTTGCTTTGATATCCTCGTCAGTTCCGCCTGTAGTTGAGACGATGCTTCCCAGGTAGGTAAAGGAGGTTGTTTCTTTCAGGTTTTTCCCATTTGTGCTGATTGTTGTCTGTTGTTGTTGGTCTTGTCCAGGAATCTTCATTACCTCTGTTTTCCCTATGTTCACCTGAAGTCCTATCTTTGATGCTTCTTCTTCGGCGAAGTCAAGATCCTCCAAGTTTTTTGTGTGAGTCCATTTTATTCGCGAAATATACCCATTAAGACATTGAAATAAGAACAAATTAGTTCAGCGAAGAGTCTCTTTTCGGCGAATTCATTCACTTAGCTGTACAGTCGCAAATACATATACAATTAGTTTGTGTGTGTGTGTACATTAGGTGTGTCAAAATCAAAATAACAGTTGGTGTGGGTTGTTGATTATATCATCAAAATAATGAAGAAGTTAAAATGTGTGATTAATAATCAAAGTTGTAACTAAGTGGGGTGAAGATTGGTAAGATGTGAGTAGGGTTACGTAATATAGACATGTTTAGAAAGATTAGATGCTAGTGAAGGAGTTTGGAGACAATTATGAAAATAAACTAGATAATAGGTGAAAAGATTGAATGGGTTAGTTACTAAAAATTGTTATACGGAAAAATTGCAAAAAATTTGATAACGAAATGTTGATGACAAATAAACTTGAAATTAAACCCACGGTAGTAGGAGAGGGTGGAGAAGTTTCTTCTGTGTGCATAACTCAGGCTTTTCCATCCAAATCGCTAAGGCTTCAGCAATACAAAGTATACGGAAGCTTGTCGATTTTGGAAGGCTTCTTTTGACTTTATAGATGACTTTGAACGACTTCTCCTTGCAAATCGAATGACCAGTGTTGAGTAGTCGTTCAAAGTCATCTATAAAGTCAAAAGAAGCCTTCCAAAATCGACAAGCTTCCGTATACTTTGTATTGCTGAAGCCTTAGCGATTTGGATGGAAAAGCCTGAGTTATGCACACAGAAGAAACTTCTCCACCCTCTCCTACTACCGTGGGTTTAATTTCAAGTTTATTTGTCATCAACATTTCGTTATCAAATTTTTTGCAATTTCTCCGTATAACAATTTTTAGTAACTAACCCATTCAATCTTTTCACCTATTATCTAGTTTATTTTCATAATTGTCTCCAAACTCCTTCACTAGCATCTAATCTTTCTAAACATGTCTATATTACGTAACCCTACTCACATCTTACCAATCTTCACCCCACTTAGTTACAACTTTGATTATTAATCACACATTTTAACTTCTTCATTATTTTGATGACGTAACTCTACTCACATCTTACCAATCTTCACCCCACTTAGTTACAACTTTGATTATTAATCACACATTTTAACTTCTTGATTATTTTGATGATATAATCAACAACCCACACCAACTGTTATTTTGATTTTGACAGACCTAATGTACACACACACACACAAAATAATTGTATATATATTTGCGACTGTACAGCTAAGTGAATGAATTCACCGAAAAGAGACTCTTCGCTGAACTTATTAGTCCATTTGATGCCTGTTTCCTCATTTTTCACTGTTTGTCGCATTATCCAGTCTACTGCAATCAGGAAAATCATTGGCGATAGTAGGCAGCCTTGTCCTACTCCTGTTCTCACTTCGAAGGATTCCGTAATTTTCTCGTTGTGGATTACTAGGCATGCAGCATTGTCGTACAGCTGTTGGCTGAGATGTATAATTGTCGGTGGCACCCCGTTGTAGCGAATTAGTCGCCAAAGCACCTCTCGATTGACGCTGTCAAAGGCCTTTTCAAGGTCAATGAAGTTGAGATGGAGAGGTGACTGCCATTCCAAGCTTTGATCAATGATGATCCGTAATGTGGCGATCTGATCTATGCATGACTTGTTTCTCCTGAATCCAGCCTGTTCCGGTCGAAGTTTTTCATCTAGGCCATGTTTGATTCTCTCCAGGATGATGCGGCTTAGTATTTTGCTTGGGATAGACAGGAGCATAATTCCGCGCCAGTTCTTGCATTGACTTAAGTCTTCTTTCTTTGGTAGTTTGAATAAGTATCCTTTCTTCCAATCCTCAGGTAGTTTGCCTTCTTTCCACACCTTCTCCAGTAGTGGCGTCATCAAGTCTGCTGTTGTCTCTGGATCCATTTTCAATGCTTCTGCTGGGATTCCATCTGGTCCTGCTGCTTTTCCAGCTTTTAGCATCTTGATTGCTTTCAGGGCTTCTGATTTCGTCGGGGGATTGTTGTTCACTGGTAGCTCTGTCTCCGTCGTTGGTATTGTTGGACGCGATGTCGGTGGTGGTCGATTTAGGAGTCTTTTGAAGTGTTCAGCCCAGTGTTTCCTTTGCTCCACTTCTTTGGTGAGTGACTTTCAATTGTCATCCTTCACTGGTTGAATCTGTGTCAAACTTTTGCCCGATAGGTACCTAGTTGTTTGGTGGATTGTTGCGAGGTCTCCTTTGCCTGCACTGCAGCTTGTTCTGCTTCACTTGCCATGGTTTCATATTGCTTTCTTTTGTCTTCTCTGGCACTCTTCTTTACTCTTTTGTTCAGTGTCTTGTAGCTTGCATTCAAATCCTGTTTTTGTTGCTCGTCGGTGCACTGGAGAATCTTTTGTTTCACTATCCGTCACTCTTCTATCAGTCTCCAAGTGTCCGTAGTGAGCCACTGTTTGTCCTGTCTCTTCTTTCTGCCTAGAACTTCCATGCAGGTTTGACTCCACACTGTTTTCAAGTTGTTCCAGTGCTTTTCGACGCTGACCTCTTCGCCAGTGTTGATTTGTGTCTCGGCTTTGTCCTTTATGCTTGCAGTGAAGATGTCTTTTGTGTCCTGGTCCTTCAGTTTTTGAGTGTTGAACTTGGCTTGTGGTCTCTCTGCAGCTCCTCTTACTCTGAAAGCTTTTAATTTGATTTGGATTGTCCCTTGTACGAGGTAGTGGTCTGAGCCAACGTCTGCTCCTCTTCTTACTTTTGTGTCCAGTAGGCTGCGCCTCCACTTCCTTGAGATTGAGATGAAGTCAATTTGGTTTTTGGTTCGCCCATGTGGTGATACCCATGTAGCCTTGTGGATATCCTTGTGTTTGTATATGCTGCCACCAATCACTAGTTCATTGAAGGCGCAGAAGTCGGCGAAGAGT